GGAATGGGGGTGGAAGGCAGCCAAATTTTTGGGAATTTCCCCCGGGGGGGTTTTGGGAATTTCCCTCAGGGATTTTTGGGGAATTTCCCCAGGGGATTTTTGGGGATCTCCCTGGGGATTTTTGGGAATTCCTCTGGGGGATTTTTGGGAATCTCCCAGGGGATTTTTGGGAATTTCCCCAGGGGATTTCTGTGCCTTTCCCAGGGGATTCCTGTGCCTTTCCCAGGGGATTCCTGTGCCTTTCCCAGGGGATTTCTGTGAATTCCCCAGGGGATTCCTGTGCATTCCCCCGGGGATTTCTGTGCCTTTCCCAGGGGATTCCTGTGCCTTTCCCAGGGGATTCCTGTGCCTTTCCCAGATGGTTTCTGTGCCTTTCCCAGGGGATTCCTGTGCCTTCCCCAGGGGATTTCTGTGCCTTTCCCAGGGGATTCCTGTGCCTTTCCCAGGGGATTCCTGTGCCTTTCCCAGGTGATTTCTGTGCATTCCCCAGGGGATTCCTGTGCCTTTCCCAGAGGATTCCTGTGAATTCCCCAGAGGATTTCTGTGCCTTTCCCAGGGGATTTCTGTGCCTTTCCCAGATGGTTTCTGTGCCTTTCCCAGGGGATTCCTGTGCCTTTCCCAGGTGATTTCTGTGCCTTTCCCAGGGGATTCCTGTGCCTTTCCCAGATGGTTTCTGTGCCTTTCCCAGAGGATTCCTGTGAATTCCCCAGGGGATTTCTGTGAATTCCCCAGGGGATTTCTGTGCCTTTCCCAGATGATTCCTGTGCATTCCCCAGGGGATTTCTGTGCCTTTCCCAGGGGATTTCTGTGCCTTTCCCAGGGGATTTCTGTGAATTCCTCAGGGGATTTCTGTGAATTCCCCAGAGGATTTCTGTGCATTCCCCAGGTGATTTCTGTGCCTTTCCCAGGGGATTTCTGTGCCTTTCCCAGAGGATTTCTGTGAATTCCCCAGGGGATTTCTGTGCCTTTCCCAGATGATTCCTGTGCATTCCCCAGGGGATTCCTGTGCCTTTCCCAGGGGATTCCTGTGAATTCCCCAGGGGATTCCTGTGCCTTTCCCAGGGGATTTCTGTGCCTTTCCCAGGGGATTCCTGTGCCTTTCCCAGGGGATTTCTGTGCCTTTCCCAGGGGATTCCTGTGCCTTTCCCAGGGGATTCCTGTGCCTTTCCCAGGGGATTCCTGTGCCTTTCCCAGGGGATTCCTGTGCATTCCCCAGGGGATTCCTGTGCCTTTCCCAGGGGATTTTTTGGGAA